ACCTTAGGCCTCACTGAACAGTGGGGAGGGAGGGCTCACACAGGGAAGCTGCTCAGGCGGCCCTAATCATCCCCGTTCAGCCAGCCGGCCGGCCAGCTGGTATTGTGGGCCTACTGTGTGCCAGCCACTGAGAGTACAGTATTGAACAGATCAGACACAGTCTTTGCTCCTCTGAGGTATATAATTTAGAGGCTAGGATGGATGTTAATAATTATGTAAATAACAATTGGAATAAATACTAAAGGGAGACATAAGGATGCTACCAGTGGGGAATAACAGGGTTTGTGTATGGGGGGAGGGAGCGTTAGTTTCCTATTGCTGCTGTAAAAAATTACCACAAACTTTGTAGTTTAAAATGACACAGATTAGCTTTCTTAGTGCTCTGGAGGTCGGCAGGGTTGCACACCTTCCTGAGGCTCTAGGAGAGAGTATGTCTCCTTATCTTTTCCATTCTCTGGCTGCTGCCTGCATTCCTTGGCTCAGGGTCCCTTCTTCCATCTTCAGGGCCAGCAGCGCAAATCTCTCTGAAGTCTGCCTCTGTAGCTGCATCGCCACATTGACTCTGATACTTGCCTGCCTCTCATGAGGACCCTTGTGATTACACTGGGCCCACCCAGATAATCCAGGATAGTCTCCCCATCTCAAGATCCTTCAGTTAAATACCTGCAAAGCCCCTTTTGCCGTGGAAGGTAGCATAGTCACAGGTTCCGGGGATCAGGGTGTGGACTTAATTTTGAGGGGCCATGATTCTGTCACAGGGACTACCCTAATCTAGGAGCGGTCAATGAAGAGTGCCCCAGGCAGGGTGATAGGTACAGGCAGGTGAGGACCAGGGAAGAGCCTCAGGTGATGGGTGGGAGGGAACTTGAGGTATTTGAGGAACAGAACAAAGGCCATTGTGGCAGGCCCAGTGTAGGAGCCAGTGACTGGCAAGTGAGACTTTGGAGACTGTGGTGGAAGTCACTGGAGGATTTTTAGGCTGATTTGTATTTAAAAAGAGCACTTTTGCTACTGTGTTGACAGCAAGGTTAGAGGTGAGTCTAGTGGATGTTGGAGGCCACTTAGGAAGCTATTGTAATTCAGATGAGATGCTAGTGGCCTGGCCTCGCTGGTGGCAGGAGATTAAAAAGAATGGATTTGGGAGATTTAAGGAGAATGAATCAGTAAGACAGGATGATGGATGGGCAGAGTGCAGAGGGGCGTGTCGGGCATGACCCCTAGGTTTCTAGCCAGGAGGAGGGTGGCATGGTCATTTCCTAAGTGGGGAAACACCAGGAAAAGATGGGATTTAGGGGGAAGAAAAAGTCCAAGCTCTAGTTTTGGGTAGATTGATTTTTGACTGCCTGTGAGACAAGCAGGTGGAAATGTCAGTATCCATCCAGTGTGAATGAGCTTAGCAGTGAGGTTTCCTGGGATGGAGATAAAAAGTTGGAAATGGTTGGCACCTAGCCACTGAATGAAGCCGTGGGAATGGTTATTGCCTGGACTCCACAGAGAGGCATGTGGGGAGGGAGGAGGGCCTCGGACAGCATGTGGAGAAAGCCAACAGCTAAAGGTGCCCCTGGGGTTGGCAGTGTTTGGAGCTCATCAGGGATGGAGTTGGGGTAGAATCCAGAGGGGCTGTTTTGAGGGGAGATGTGGAGGTGAGAAATAGAGACAAGTCTTAAAGAACAGCATGGGAAACTTCAAATATATAGTAGTATTAGGTTCCCATTGCTGCTGTAACAAGTTGCCATTAACTTTGTCTCTTAAACAATACAACTTTGTTATCTCACAGTTCTGGAGGTCAGAAACCTGAATGGGCCTCCCTGAGCTAAACGAAGGCGGTGCAGGGCTGCGTTCTTCCTGGGATGGTCTTCTTGCCTTTTAATCTTCTAGCGGCTGCCTGTGTTCCTTGGCTCCTGGCCTCCTTCCCATCTTCAAAATTAGCAAAGGCGAGTGGAACCCTTCACTCGTTGCATCACTCAGATCTGTTGTTCTGCTTCTGTCTCCCACTTTTAAAAGTGCTTGTGAAGACACTGATAATCCAGGACTGTGCCCCTATTTCAGTGTCAGCTGGACAGTAAATGAAGTCCATCTACAACCTAAATTTCCCTTTGCTGTGTAGGTCATGTATTCACAAGTTCCGGGGATTAGGCCTGGGCATCTCTGGGAGACCATTTTTCTGCCTGTACACATATATGTAAAAGCATAAACAGGATAGTATATTGAGGCCCACCTACCCACCACTCAGCTTTCACAACACAGCTTCACCCCCATCCCTCACCCCTCCCCACGTCACCATTGGAGCCTTTGAAACAAATCTTAGACATCATCTGATTCATTTGTTGACGTTTCAGAACCGATGGTTGTTTAAAGAATCTTAGCTATGAAGGAGAGGTGAGTGGGAACTGGGGGAGGTGTGTGGGAGAGCATGGATGGATTTTTAATAGGAGAGACACTTAAGCATGTTAAATTCTGACGGGAAGGATTTGATAGAGGAGAGATTGGCCTCGGACAAAAGAGAGATCTCTATCATTAACTGGAGGCACGTAGGTTGGAGGGTCTGAGAGTTCGAAATTAAGGGAATTCCTCTCTGCTGGTTAGAAAAAAAAATTTTTTTTTCCTGTTGAGTGGGAGGCCATTGAGAAGGACAGAGGGGATGTTGAAGTTTTGAGGAGTTTGGGGAAAGTTGGAAACAGTCGTTACGGAGTGGAAAATGTGGGATGTGTTGAGGGCCACTTGGATTTGGTGAATTCTAGTGAATCCAGTGAGCTTGGCTGTGTGACTTTTCCCCTATAGCATTGTACATCTGTCTGGGTGTATGTTTATTCAGAGAAGGTAGATAATTTGGTTCTTACTGTGTTTTGTTTGTTTTTTTTGCCAGGTGGTGTGGCAAAGGACAGGGTAAGGGGTGTTTATAAGAGCCACTGAAATCACGATCCATGGACCCTGAGCAAGGAAGGCATTTGTACAGTGCTGGAGTCACAGATGGGCAGATATTTTGATGGGGTGTTTTTCTTAAATACTGCTCCCTGGGTCACCCTCCTTCTCCGACTCCCCCTCCAGTGGGAGAGTATTAATATAGGTAGAAAAAAGCAGACTCAATCCAGTAATTCCCAAATAGCAAAAATCATGGATTAATTTGAATATATGGCTAGCTCACAAAGAAATTTAATGAGATCTGACTCCATGTGCTCTACTCGTATATCTGACATTCCTTCTGGCCTCTAAGCCACATATACTAATGTTGCTTCAAAAAATGGCTGTAGGTGTATTTAATATGCATTGATTTATGGTTGAGATGTAGCTTTATTGAAAATTTTTAGTGATTTTTGTCTATACCATAAAATCTTGCTGTAATATGGCAAGTGTTATTTTTAAAATTCAGCCTTGTATGTATATGGGGTCTCGTTGTTGTGAAGGCAGTGAAAACCACACATGCTCGCACATGGCGCACACACGAGAAGGTAGTGAAACTGTTGTGCACAGAGATGACCAGAGAATTCATCGTCTCAGATGAGGGGTGAAGGAATGTAGATTGGTGGATCAGCATGTGGACCTAGCAGACAAGTGAAAACAGAGGATGTTAGGATAACCGGATGGAATGTGCTATTTCTGCTATGGTTCTCTTTGCATGGAATTGGGTTATTTTGCATTTAATGGTGTTTATTGACATGTGACCATTTTTGACTGGTTCTCGGCCCACTTTTTGGCTGTTTCTTCCTGTGACAGGAGATGCTAATTATATTAGTCCAGAATAAGTAGCAGCAGCAGATTTATTTTTTTAAATAAAATATCACAGTCTCTTTCTTTTTAAAATACCTTTCACCTAAATCTTGGCGATTCCATGAGCTGTGTGCCTTCCGTGATAGCCTGAGAGCGCGAGAAGGCTGTAGGATGGAGCCGTGGCACACAGGAGCCTGATCCTGCCCACCCCAAACTCCCTACTCTGTGGCACTGAACTTTGCTCCCCTTTCCTGGTCCCAGCCGACTCACCCACGCCCTGGGGAGGCATGCTAATCAAGGTGCAGGACTCCTGGCCCTTAGTGGAGCGCAGTAAATGGTTTTGTTTGTAGGATCGCTCAGTATAGCATTTAGTTAAGATCACGGGCTTCTAAGTCTAGCCCTGGGGTTGAAGTCCCAGCTCTGCGACTGGTCCTTGGACAGATTCTTAAGCCTTCTGAGCCTTACTTTTCTGTCTGTTTAATGGGGATTATAATAGTACGTACTTTATAGGGTTGTTGTGAGAATAAATAGTGCAGTCCCTGGCACATGGTAGGAGTTCCCAGTATCTGTCATCATCATTGCGGTGGACTGTTAAACTTGGGCTCGCGTGGCTTACCAATTTGATGCATCTGGGACTTGTTAGGTTTTAAATTTTATTTCTCTATTATTTACAATATTCCTTGGACATCTCCTTTTCAGAGAAGGGAAGCTGCAACTGTCTACCTTCTCCCTCGCCCTCCACCATGCCTCTCCCTGGGGCCCCTACCCTGGTCTCCTGCTTTGTTTTTCTCCACTGCACTTACCACCTTCTGTCCAGTGGACTTGCTTTTTCTGTCTTCGTCTGCTGAAATGTGAGCTCCACGAGAACAGGCATCCACGTCTGCGTCGTTCCGTTGTGAGAGCCTGGCACCTGGTGGGTGTGTGATAAATCTTGATCAGAATGAAGAAATTGACTTAGAAAGTGATGGGATGATTCTACACACCACCGAAGATTATTAAAGCTGCCACGGCTCTCTGAGCTATTCAGAAGCTCTTAATGACAGTTTGCTCCTCTGCCTGTCTCGAACTCCTTTCACAGTAGGAGGTCATTGAGGCCAGGAAGAACAGGTTCAGGGACGGCTCAGTTGGATGAGAGGGCCTAGGGCTGGTTTACTTCTGACCCCTTTTCTTTCAGCATGACCACCGAACACCGGGGCAGCCAGGGGAGATGCTTGTTTCAAGTGGTCTCTCAAGTATCATTTTACTTTGTCTATTTTACATACAACAGAGCTTTTGTTGTTTTTCTCTTTTAGGGCACCAATGCCTCTGCTCTGGAAAAAGACATCGGTCCAGAGCAGTTTCCAATCAATGAACACTACTTCGGATTGGTCAATGTAAGTATTTAAAAAATGTATTATTTTTATCAAACATTTTAGAGTACTTGAATCAACTCCACTGCCATTTTCATCAACCGTTTTTAGATAATTGTTCATGTTCTTTAGTTCTAAGAGGTGGCACATGTTGGGGAGGGAGAAGTTTAGTCCAGTGTTTGAAAATGTAAGTTGTCTCTGAAAAGGGCTTAATTACTGCATTATTGGGTCAGGTTCTCATTTTTTTCCCACCTGTATTTTAAAGGATTTCCTTTGTACATACCTTTGAGAGAGGATTTCATTAACTTCTGTAGCCAAATCTGCCTTCATATGTTTTCTTTCCCTTTTTCCTCTGGGTAAATAGACCCCTCAGGCAGTCTTTGTTTCAGTATGTATCAGTACAGTCAGAGCTTTAACACTGTTACTACCCCATCACCAGTAACTGTTTAATAGTATAACTTGTTGGTGGTACCTGAAGCAGGGGTGGGGTGTAGGGGACCAGTTCATCTCAGAATCCCTTGGCCTCATTTTACCCGTGTTCAGCAGTGTCTCCCTTGTATATGGCCAGACTCACCAGGCCCTGCTTCCTTGATAAGTTGATTATGACCAAGTAGTAAGGCGGCACCACCCACCATCCTCATGAGCATTCTTCCGATGTGGAGCTTTAAGTGACATCAAGTGTTAACTCATAAGCATAGGCACCTGGTTTTCTGGAACAATTGCCCTGAGCTTAGCCAGTCAGTCCCTAGGTGTGATAGGTAGTAATTTCCACTGGGGAGGCTGGAAATATTCTCTGCAAGTGAATGCTGCCTGCGATATAATGGAAAGAATGAACATTGGCTTCCGAGTAATACAGACCCAAGTTCTGTATTACTCCTGGCCTCCTGCAATCAGATCAGGGCCTGCACAGTAATGTTTGGTGCCTCTCAAGCCCCACAGATACTCAGATGATTAAAGAGGGTTCTGCCTGTGCTTTTCACTAGCTGTGTGCTCTCAGGCAAGTCACTTGACCTCTCTGAGCCTCCTTTCCTCCATCTGTAAAATGGACATCATACTGGTTTCTACCTCTTGGTTTGTAGTGAGGGATCAGTCAGAGCTCCTATTGAAGACCTTGACATGAGGCTGAGGTACATTGTGGACACTTGGTGAATGTTAGTTCCTTTTCTTCCCCAGGAGTTGTCCACTGGATCAAGACCAAGCAATACTGAAGGGTATTTGGGTAAAGGCAACCCATTGCGTAAAAGAGAAAAGAATGGAAGGGGAAGGTACAGGAATATAGGGCATCGTGTTGGTGAAATACTGACTTCTAATTTTAATACAATGTCTTTTTCGGACATTGTGCACAGGCCTCTGCTTAAGCTCTCTGGAGATAGCTATCCAAGTAGTGGGACTCCTGCCCTGGCCGAGGGAAGTTCAAATGCAGACTAGGGGGGAGAAGTGAGGCCGCTTCCTAGTTTGTGGGAACATTGTGAGATCTACATTTATAGCTTTATGTTCACTTCGGATGGTAATTCATGAACATTCCAGCTTTTCTTTAAAAAGAGGTTTGTCTCCTATGACGAAGTTGTGTCCAAGTAGATTAAAATATGTAAAAATAGGAAATGTTCTGTCTTAGCATACGTGGAAATGTCACGGTAAGTATGGCGGAGCATCTGTCTGGCTCCTGGGTAAATGGCACGCAAGCCACCAGCCAATCCCGAGAAGGTGTTCGTGCTCTATTTCAATCTTATACAGTGTTTTGTTATCAATGGTGTTAATCTTGTTATTTCCTTAGGGTTTTTGTGTGTGTGTGTGTTTTCTTGTCATTTTACTATGTAGGAAACATTCCGAGGTGCTCGCCTCTGCTGTGTGTTTCCACAGCTGGTTTTCCAGTCAGTGAAAACCACTGAGATGATGATTTCCCCTCTTTAATCATCTGAGTATCTTGTGGGGCTTGAGAGGCACCAAACATTACTGTGCAGGCCCTGATCTGATTGCAGGAGGCCAGGAGCTGAGTGCCAGCGCAGGGGTAATTTAGGAGTCACGAGGGGGAGCTGGTGGGACCTGAAGGAGCCACCTCCTTGCCTCCGTGGCTCAGGAGGAAGCAAGGAAATGGGGTCTGCAGCCAGTGGGTAGGGGCGCTAGAATCTTGAAAGAAACACTAAAACAATGCCCCATTCAGCTAAGGCCGGTTCGTCTGAGCAAGTGGTTCCTAGTTTTTGGGTTTCTTTTTTATTTGGATTTTTATTTTTGCTGTCAGAGGAGTTTCGATGTGTTGCCGTGTGGCATCTTTTATTTAGCCAGCCGCCTTTCTGGGTCTCCTTGTTATGTCGAGTTTTTTCTCTCCTCTGTTTTTAGCACCAGAAGGTCTCATTGGGTAGTCTCATCCAGGCAGAGATGCTGGGGGGCTAGCAAGGCACCAGGTCATGTAGACTCGTGCTCATCCCCCAGCTGGTCAGCTAGTCACCGGTTTCGAGTGGTTGACTAGCTCTTTGACCCGGCGAGCAAGACTCGGATGCCGGGAAACCCAGGCGGGCTCGTGGAGGGAGGGAGCCCTTCTCCCTCTCTGCACCTGTTCCCCAGGTAGCGCGTCCCCGGACCGTGATCTGAACTGTCCCTGTTGTCCCCTGGCAGTTCGGGAACACGTGCTACTGCAACTCTGTGCTTCAGGCCTTGTACTTCTGCCGGCCGTTCCGTGAGAATGTGCTGGCATACAAGGCCCAGCAAAAAAAGAAGGAAAACCTGCTGACATGCCTGGCGGACCTTTTCCACAGCATTGCCACGCAGAAGAAGAAGGTTGGTGTCATCCCACCGAAGAAGTTCATTTCCAGGCTGAGAAAAGAGAATGGTGAGTGGTGTGGAGATGCATGTGTTTAAGGTCTGAAATGAGGAGAATGGACAGTGCTGTGTATCCTCAAAATGATGGCCCACTACTCAAATACAGGTTTTTTTTTTTTAAAGAAAAGATATATATTTTTTTCTGCCCAGTATACATAAACCAAAACTGGATTAAAATATGCTTAAAAAATTCAGATTTGTCACCTCCCTTTGGAATCATCTTTTTATTTATTTCACAGTTGGAAGGCATTTTTTTTTTCTGGGTAGGATCATTGTAAGAGGGAAAATTGCCCAAGGCAGCCTTGTAAGTAGGACACTGAGTGGAAGAGATAGGTTGATGCAATAATTGAATAAAATACTACTCTCTTATAAACTTGTTATAAGTGATTAAAGTAAATGCATATTATCTAATCAGGGCCTCTACTGTTTTGAAAATAATACCTCTGGTTTTTATTTGCCTAAGACAATTAAAAGGATATTAAATTGATACCTTTCTATGATAAAAATGTCCTGCTTTCACCTGATTTTTTTCTGCTTTTTCTGTCTTTTTTGGGGGGGCAAGTGGTGGTAGAGACTAGGTTATTCTGGAAGTTTTGCGTTGCTAATATTTATGACTATAGAAATATTTGATATAGCAACTTGTGTTTCTTTGTTTTTTTAAAATATATCTTTATTGATTTCAGGGAGAGAGGAAAGGAGAGGGAGAGAGAGATAGAAACATCATTGATGAGCGAGAGTCATTGATCAGCTGCCTCCTGCACGCCCCCTATGGGGATTAAGCCCACAACCCCGGGCATGTGCCCGATGGGGAATTGAACTGTGATCTCCTGGTTCATAGGTCGATGCTTAACCACTGAACCACACCAGCGGGGCAGCAACGTGTGTTTATCCTAGATTTCAGCCTTAGTCCAACAGATTTGCACAGCTAATCGGATGTTTGTTATATAAAGTCTCATTTAATTTGATTGCTGTCTCTTCAGTTGTTGTAGTTTATATGTACCAGAATAAAAATAATCGGAGAAGGAAGCAGAGCATGCCCGAGTCTCGTTGTGAACGTGAATAATAATGAAGTCTCCCAGCTGCATTCATCTCTAGATTGTTTGTCTGTATGGCAGGGAACAGCAGCAGGCTCCTGGAAGCATCTGTATTTGGTTTCAGGATGCTATCGGATGGATACATTCTCACGTGCACCCCTCATCTCCTGTATGTGCTTCATCGAAGCTGCTTCTAGACTGAGCCAGGGTTCAGTATGATCTTTGGGAAGAGACTGCAGTTGCTCTGGATAAATTACAGAATGAATAATTGATCATCGGTGGTCACATCATATTTAAATATTGGTATTTTATCAGGGAACTTATCAAGTAATTTCTGCTTTTTTTTTTTTGAAGAATAAAGGAATTTTGCTAGCTTTTTATCTACATGATGACTTTTAGGGAAGTTCAGTTCTTGGTGGGTGGTAAAAAATGGAAATAACCAAAAATTCTTTTCAGACTTACCTGTTGAAGCTGCAAAATAGAAATGAATGTCCTCCACACCTATCCCCGCTTTTCAGCATACAAACTGAAGTGTGGCATGTAAAACTGAGCATCTTCTTTTGCTTTTTAAGAGCCAGAGGTTGAAATAATGGCCTTCTCTTTTCCAGATCTCTTTGATAACTACATGCAGCAGGATGCTCACGAGTTTTTAAATTATTTGCTGAACACTATTGCGGACATCCTGCAGGAGGAGAAGAAACAGGAGAAGCAGAACGGGAAATTAAAAAACGGCAACATGAATGAACCTGCAGAGAACAATAAACCAGAACTCACCTGGGTCCATGAGATTTTTCAGGGAACACTCACCAACGAAACTCGATGCTTGAACTGTGAAACTGTAAGCATTGGTCAGGCTCTCATGCAGTTTGCTTGTGCATATTTGTAGAGGCCGTACTGTGTGTGAGTGCAGTGTGATATCAGAGCATCAGCAGTTGTCTTCAGTGTAAGTGGACATATTTATGTATATGAACCTAGGGTGCAAACTTTCGGAAGCATGTCTCCCTCTGAGATGTCTCCGCTGGCTAAAGTAAAGCAAGGAGGGCACATCTCAGCAACTGGATTGCTTTGCATCCTGGATAAATTTTAGGGTTCGCACATTGAATTGTGGTTGCAAGGAGGTTATGTGTGACTTAGACCATCTCCCCAACTTGAAGGAAATGAGCAGTGTGGTGTGGTGGACCTGAAGTCAGAAGACAGGCTTGACTACTGTAAGTCCTTATATCACTGTTGTGGGGGCTGGGTGAGCGTATGTGTTTGGATGAGTGTGGCACATGGTGGGCACTTAGTGTTAGATGAATTTGAAGACATGATCTCCAGAATATGATTCTGGAGATCATGTTTGCTTGTCATATTTGATTTAATTTTGTAACATAGCAGTTAGAACCTGGCTCTAGAGCCAGGCCGCCAACTTGGAATGTTGGCTCAGCCACTCAGTAGCTGTGAGACCCTGTGCAGACTATCCCACCTCTTTGTCTTCACTCTCCTCATCTGTAAATTGGGGATAATGAGAGGGCCTATCTCATAGGGTTGCTGGGGGATTAAATGAGTGAACATTTGTAAAACACTTAGAACCATGCTTGGCACGTAGGGCGTATGCAATAAATGTCAGCTGTTATTACTTACGATAATTACTAGCAACATAGGAAGCCTGTGGGCTCATCAGGGGTCTCAGAGTTTCTTGACATTGTATGAAAAATCCTTTAGGATTGTGCATTTTTTTCTGGGGAGAGAGACAGTAGTTTTCATCCGATTCTGCAACAGGGCTGTAACACAGAAATAGTTAATATATGTGGATTTAATTGGAAGGCTCTTTGTTTTTTGACAGTCTTTCTTCTGTCCTTTTAAACAATTTTGGAATCAACACTGGTTTGTTAATTGTACAAAAAATTAGAAAACAGAGCTAAGCAAAAAGAGACTAAAAGTCAACCAGCAGTCTCCCCACCCACAGATGATAAATTTATAACATTTTCTAAAAATTGTGATCGCATTAGCCCAGAGATAACCACATGAACATTTTCAAATATGCCCTGCCAAAGCATTTTCTGCATGTACTTATCTACCTAGAGACCTTTCCTCCTTCCTGTCTCCTTCTGTTTCTTTGTGCTTCATATTCCAGTACATTCAGATGAGTACAGAATTAGAATAGTATAATAAATCCCGTGTGTGGATTGCCTACGCTCAGTGATTGTTAGCACATCGCCCGTCTTGTTCATCTCTTCCCCGCACCCTCTCCCCGTCATCAAACTGGTCTATTTTTAAGCAAATTTCAGATTACATATCATGTCACTTGTAGCTTCTTCATTACTTTGTTCTGTATCTCTAAAATGGGTGGGAACCGTTTTTCTGCCAAGAGCCATTTGGATATTTATAACATCGTTCGAGGGCCATACAAAATTATCAACTTAAAAATTCGCTATGAAAAAAGCTCCTAGATTTATTGAATTTTGAGTCCTGCCTGCGGTTGCCTTGGCAGGGCTGGATCAAATGGTTTCACGGGCTGTGTATGGCCCGTGGGCCGGACATTCCCTATCTCTGCTCTTTTTATTTTAAACGTAAGTACAATTACTTTTTTAAAAAATTTCTTTAAATCACTATTCACTCAGTGTTCAAATTTCTATGAAACTTTTTCATTTCTTTTTTTTTTTTTTAATAGTTGCTTAATTCAAATCAGGATACATACATTATCCACACATTGCACTTGGTCAGTCTGCATCTTAATCTATAGGTGACCCCTCCTCCATTTTCCTTGCAATTTATTTGCTGAAGAAATCAGGTCCCTTGGAATTTCCTGAATTCTGGAAACATCTGTGGTGGTGTTTAATATGCGTAGTAAATGGCAGTATGTTACCACCCTACTCTCTGTTTTTATTTAACACACCTATTTTATATTTCTTTTTCTCTCTTACCTGCTTTTGGATCAATGAAATATTTTTTTTTTTTTTTTAATTTTTGAAATAAGCACGTTACTAAATTTATCTTGTAGCAAGTACTCGATTTTCAGGGAGGCTCAGTTTTATTAGTATTTTCTTTTTTGTCTATGAACAGGTCAGTTGATCCCCAAAAATGCAAATATTGCATCTCAAATACTTGTATTAAAAAAGCTATTACCTAGCCTGTTTCTTCCTGCAGGGTTACCGTAGATGGAAAAGCCTGAGCCCGAAGATTTCTCTGGAAATTTTGGGTGATACTGTAGTTTGTGACCATGGGATTCCAACCACTTATAGGTGGTTTGTGGAAGTGAATGCGTGTGTGGGTATGTCTTTCGGGAGGATGGGGCAATCAAATTTATTCTTACATTTATTCCTCCCGAAATGAGTACTAGATGATTTGAGGCAAGAGTGTTTCTTCCCTGGAGTTTCTTGGATAATCACTTCCATTTTCTTAGATCCTTCAAATGAACAAGATCCTAGGAGTTGTCTACTCTTCTCTCCCTGTCGCTCGAGTCCCTTCAGTGTCGTTATAGCCAGTTGGTCACCAGCGTCCACTGGACCCTGTCCAGAGGCAGGGAACTCAATCTCCTGAGGAGATGCACTCCGTTTTTAGAAAGCTCTCTAATGTTAGAAAGCTCTCTACTTTCTAAGAAAATACATAACCTGCAGGCTTTTTTTTTTGTTCTGTAAAATGTTGAGGACTTCTTGTAAAAGAACACTTAGCTGTGAAGTTTTTCTGCCCAGGATGAGAAACACTGGCCCTCTGAGCAATGTCCTCTGCTCAGGGCAGGCAGCCTTTAGACCGAGCTTCAGTCAGAATTGCCAAGACCCACATTTGTGAAATCTCACAGTGGGATTAAACCGCTCCAGATCCCTAGCAGCAAATTAGCCCCCGGGGGAGCCTTGCCATTGTGGCTGCCTGGCTGCTAGTTCCTCCAATTGTGGAAAACTCATTGTGGGAGCCTTCATGTTTTCAGAAAACAATAATTTTTTTTTTCCTGGGTCTCACCCTTTGTAAATGTTGCTTGTGATTGCTGTACAAATGTCAACTGCCGGATTTTTGGAAAAAAACAGTTTCATTCTGCAGTAGACCTGGAGAAACTATTTTAAGGGGGTAATTCAGTGCTGACTTCCCTCGGTAGCCTTGAACAAGGCGCCTCAGAATTGAGGCGCGGGGGTTTACAGAGCAGCCTCAGCTCTCCCTTGGTGGTTCTTTGCTTGGGTCATAAGATTTGCAGGGCCAGTTGGAGCTTAATTTTGTTGTTGTTAATTTCCCCCCTTTCCATTAAAACTGGGTTTTTGCTCTGCAAACCTGTGGTTTTCAGTTGCTTCTCTGTGGCTTTAAGACACGTCTCTGTCTGTCCCTGGAACCAGAGTTTGTCTGAAGAACTGCTTTATTAGGTACCAGTGGTACAGCTCCTTCTTGCTTTGTTTGCAGGGGTCAGAATTGATCCAGTGGAGCTTCTGAGCCCTTCACGGACGCGGGCGGGGTGGGCAGGGCGGCCAGGTGCGATCGAGTCCCTGGGATTCAGGTGGGATGTAGTTGCAGCTTGTCCCAAGCCCGCCGTTTGGCACCTCTCTGAGCCAGGGCATTTTCAGTTCCTGGCTGAACAGCGTGGGGCTCCTGCCTGGTCACCTTTTCTACTAAGCCCAGGAAAGGAGTCACATTTGAATATTATTTTAGTGACTCAGGAACTTGATGAAGCTCATGATTTATATGTACGCCCTATAAATTAATTTGTTCTGTTCATTGATTTGTAATTATAACTTTAAGAAGAAGGGCAGGTAGGGTCTCTTCCACCCTTCTTGTTTTTGGTTTGTTAACCTCACCTGAGCGTATTTTTTCCAACGTTTTTCAGAGAGTGGAAGGGAAGGAGGGAAGGAGGGGGAAAGGGGTGGGGGGAGAGAAACTCCATGTGAGAGAGACCCGTTGGCTGGTTGTTTCCTTCACATGCCTGACCGAATTGAGGGGCGGGTATCGAACCACAACACAGGTACTTGCACTTGACCAGGAATCAAACCCGTGACCCTTCAGTGCGCAGGCCAACGCTCTAACCACGTAGTCACACCGGCCAGGGCTCTTCCACTCTTCTTAAACTAGAGTTTTTGGGGATCCCCATGCCCAGAGTGGGGGGGAAGAAAGGAGAATAAGATGTAGTCTGTACTTGCTGAGAGTATTGGAGTCTTAGTGATGTGTATGTTTCCGTGGAGACAAGCTGGATTTTCATTTAGACCAGAATGAGATCCTTGTGGGTGGGAAGAAAATGGTTTTCTTTTCTGGGAAGAGAAAAAGAAGAAAAAAAATTGCTTGATCACTCATTGCTTTTGAGTGTGTCAGTCTGGGCAGGGAGAGAGAGAAAGCCAAGTGGGAGTGTTTAGTGCCATGTTTTGATACCCCCAGCGGGGTTGATGCACCTGAGCAGTGGTTTCTCACGCTCTTAATTCTGGAAGCAGTTTGCACTGGGGATTGAGAAAGTTACAGTAACTTTGCTCAGTTAGTTAATTAGATTTGTACCTTTCCCCACCTCTCCTAAAACAACTAAGTAGAGAAAAAGATTTCTGTCTAACAGGAGACAATGTTTCTTTGTTTTTGCTCCTTTCCAGTTATAAGAGTTTTAGTAGAACATGATCCTAGCTATCTGAGTTATGTATGATTCCAGTTGGCTAGAATACTCTCCCCCTCGCCTCCCCCCACCCCCGCCCCAAGAAGGACCATTTGGGTCTAGAGAAATTTCTGCTAATTAAAAAATATAATACCTGTGGATTATTTTAAGAAAATAGAATGGTCTGGCTGGCGTGGCTCAGATGTGGAGCATCGACCTAGGATCCAGGAGATCGCTGTTCGATTCCCAGTCAGGGTACATGCCCGGGTTGCTGGTTCAATCCCCAGTTGGGGGCGTGCAGGAGG